TTTATGAATTAAATCCCGTTTGGAACAAAGGGAATTCTGGACTTCCATGAGCTGTGCCCCTGCGGCTGCTGTTAATGGTTAATTGCCCTTTCCAGCTGGATCTGGCTGGGGCTGGATGACGGAGGTTGGGAATCACCTCTGCAGGGGCAGGAGCTGGGGAAGGGCTTGGTGCAGCCCCTGGAATCCTGCAGGGATGGGATGTGGAGCCTGGCTTGGATTGGGTTCCAGAGGCCGAGGGGTGGCTCCATCCTAGCTCCATGCACCAACATGTTGGTGATTCCTCATGCCATCTCCAAGTGTCCAGATCCAGGCTCTATCCCTGATCTGGATCCCACATTCTCCTTGTGTTAAGAGCAAGTCTTGCTGCCAAAGTGTCCATCCTGCCAGGAAGACACCAGGATATGAATCCCAAATGAAGGTACTTCCCAATTCAGCTTCCAGAAATGCAGCCAGGAGCAACATCTGAAGATCTCCGGAGTGGAAAACCTCCCTGGATGTGCCCAGTGGTGCTACCCTGCTTCCCATCACCCTGAAGCTGGCAGGAAGGGAGGATACAAGAATTCCTGGTCTGGCTCCATGCCCACAGCTGTGCTCTGCTCCGTGTGCCACGTCCGGGCAGGATCCAGGGAACAAACCCTCCCTGAGACCAGGAATTTTGGTGTTAATTACTGCACAGATGGAATTAGATCCCTGGGAAAACAGCCCTGATGTACCCTCAGAGCTGTTGGGATGAGGACTCCCAGGAATGTGGTGCCTCCAGCCATGCTCCATGGGGCCAAGGGGGTTGTCCCAGGTGTTGTGGGGCTCCTTGGAGCATGGTGAAGGGCATCTCCCTCCACGTTTTCCAGGTCCAGGGGTGTAGGAGAGGAGCAGGTGGTGGCTGGAACACTGGGAAGAGGAGGAGGAGGAACTTGCTGGAGAGGTTTCTGTGGGATCTCAGGGAGTTCGGGAGGTGATTTGGGAAGGGAAGGCAAAGGGGGATGTGCCCTGGAGAGGGACACAGAGCAGGTGGAGAGCATCCAGGTGGGATCAAATCCAGCTTCCATGGAGCTTGGATCAACCTGCTCATCCCCAGGGATTGGGATCCGTGACATCCAGCAGTTAGTCCAAGACACGAGTCCCTGTGGTGCACAGTGTGGCCAGAAGAGATGAGGAGGAGAACGGAGCGGGCAGCAGGGAGGGAGCACGATATCCATGGATAAATCCAGCCGGGAAGCAGCCCCCGCTCCGCGCCGCCGGCACCGAGAGGGTT